CCTTGGAGCAGGATAATTGCTCCAGGCAAACACTCACCTATTTGACATCCCATTAGGCAAATAAAACAGAAATAATTCAAAATGAGATGAATCCAGCTGTGGTTTGCGGGACTTTTTTTTTCTCTTGTTCTCCACACAGGGATAAAAGAAAATAATAAAGGGGGGGGGGGAATCCACCCAACTATGAAAGGTGTTGTGGTGGGGGGAGGAGATGGAGATAGAGATCTAAGGCTTGCCACTATTTGAAGGGATGTCCCCCTTTGTAAGAGAAGGAACCCCGATGTGTTACCAGGGTTTTAAAAAGGCATAGGGAAATCTGTAGAGCTTTACTTTCTGAAGATGCAGAAGGTGACTGTGGGCTTTGGGGGGCTTGTTAGTACAGCATTATAGCTCAAGGGGTCAAAAAGTTGAGGGTCAAAAGTTTACGCTGAGCGTGACTCAGTCTTGTGTATGAGGCTGATAGACTGGATAGCAGTGTTAAAAAGGGTGGGGGGAGGCAGAGTCCTTCTTCGCTCATGGGCAGAGATGAGAGAAAATGATAGCGAGAGAAGAGATAGAAGTGTAGGATCGACCTTCAGTGTAACAAGCTGCCAACAGGGAGAGAGAGAAAAGAGAGAGAGAAAATGGAGTGGGCTTTAGCAATTCACAGTGTGATGCGGGTAGAAAAGAAAGCGGATTAATGAGTTAGGGTCTCCAGCGCGGAAATGCGTGGTGACTTCCAACGACTTTAATTCCTAATAAAATCCCTGAAACACTGCTTCGAGTCTAATTTAAAAAAGAATATCAGGAGGAAATACACTGAAGGAATCCAGTTCCTGGGAAGCCCCTATAGATTATTTGAGGTATTAAAAAAAAAAAAGTATTTCCAGCCCGCAGTCAATCTATTTCTTTTGCAACCACTTACGAAAACCCTGCTCAACAATCTTGAAGGATTTCAAATTACTTGGGCTCAAGGACCTCGAAGGGTTTCAAACTCCTGAGAAAGGTGTCTTATCATTATCTTCCAGCCCAGCCTGACTGTCCGAATGCTTTAAATAGTTCCCGAGCAAATTAGTAAAAATCCTATTGAATAATGAATGCAGACCCTCATTTTTAAAAGATCTGAGAGAAAGAAGACACGCGATTTATTGGGAAGAGAATAAGTTCTGGCATTCATACCTTAGTGATCTATAGCCTCCATGGCTGTCAGATACAAAAAAAAAAAGCAGGTTAAAAAATATGATGTGCATAACCACTTCACGGGGTTTTTTAAAACAGTATCCACTGTGACCATTGGTCTAGTTTCATTATCTGATTTCGCTTTGCCGTATGAACTCCCTCTGAATTTGAACGGAATATTTGATATTTCTTGCTAGAAACACGAATCCAATCTGGCCGCTTGCAACAGTTTAATGAACTGGTATAATAAATATTTCCCTTGGCATTTTCACAGATATTTCCACATGCGCTCTGCATCCCTAAACTTCAAATATTATTTTTGTATAGGGTGGGGCGGAGTGGGGGGAGTGGAGGATGGGGAGGGAGAAAGAGACTTTGCCTCGAAAGCAAACAGCTGAAGCAGAGCAAACAATTTCCAAAAAAGAAAGAAAGCAAATTTGCTTTTGTTCTCGCTTTTTAAATATTTTTCAGGGACTAAAGACTTCGAAGCAGGGTCATTTTTCTTGGAAGAGGGAGAGAGAATATTAGAGCCTTGGGAAAAGCATCCTGGAGAATCCATTTGCTTTTCCGATTGGGATATATTCACAGCGCGGGTGAAGTTCGAGAGAAAGCAAAGCGTTTTGTTTCTAGTGATAAGGCTGCGGTTTAATTAATTGCAATGAATTTGCTTGGTATTTATAAAATATCACTATATAAGGGCCACCGTTTAGTAGTAACTTGGGTGATCCATCCCTGCGCTCTTGTAATTACTACACTTATCTCTCTAGACCAGTCATTTCTGCTCCAGGTTTATATAACAGGTAATGGATAATAACCGCCATTTGTTTGGGGGATATTAAAACAAGCAGGTATAATTTCATGGCAATAAAAAAAAACTTCCTTATAATATTCACTCCCACATCATAATGTTTAACTTTCAATTTAGGCATGCAGTGCTCTGCTTTCATTGGAAATAACAGCAAGTCGAACAAAGGGGGGATAATATTTGAGTAGCATTTTCAAGGATATTTCCAATTTATGTCTCCTCTTTGGGACCTTTCTTTGCGTGGGGGTGTGAGAGTTGGAATATACTATACAAGCGGTCATTTAGAAAGTTCAGGCGGACTATTTCTACCAGCCAATCGATTGCATCTGCTTTTAATCCCAATTTACTTCTCAATTTGCTTGTTCTGTCCCTGGAACAAATACCGTGGCACAGTCAGTCATTTACATGTACATATAATTGTAAACTTCCTATATTCTGCTCTTAACAAAGAAGTGCCGCCTGTCCTATAGGACACATATATCCCGGGAGACATTCGCCTTTATTCTTTATCTAATGCTCGTTTTACCTTTGATTTCCATTTTAATTTTTAAAGGAGGGATAAAATATTCCAGATCAGTCCTTGACATGGGGACCTCATACCCTTTTCTTTCTTCCCCAAAGCTGCATGAAAACAAAATGCTACAAACCATGGATACGAATATAGAGATGCAAAATAAACTAGGAATAACTTTTTGGTGGGGTGGGGGTATAAAATAAAGCAGGTGTGGCTGCTCTTCTTCTAACCTTATATTCCGCGCCCCCCCCCCTTTTTTTTTTTATTCTGGTCCAAATGCCTCTGATTAAAAGTCCCACCCTATAGAAATACTTCACCCCTTCCTGGAAATCTCAGTTTCAGAAGAGAAAGTGCAATATTTATGTTTCCGATTGCAGAAAGGGGAGTTGCATTCACAGCCATCAGGACTGGCTGATTTTAAAAAAAAATCTAGAGTAAGGGGAAATGTCCAAATAAAATTTAAAAAAAAATAACATAAAAGTGCCATGAACTCAGTTGGAATTTCAGGCACTCGAGGAAAGGTCTGAATAAAACCTCCTTGCCATGCCATTTTTCTCCAAAGTAATGACCTGGGTAAAATTCAATATGACCGAGAGAGCAATGCAAGCGTATTATGGAGAATGCAAGAGGGAGAGCCCCGGGAATGGGGTGAAACTCAGGTCAGCGCGTCTAACAAATATTAAAATGTTCAAGGGACTGGGGACACGCCTAGCTGTTTAACAAAGACTGACAAAGTATGAGATTAATACGAAAACTTGCGGGTTTCCAAACCCAAAATGCTCAGAAGGGCCTATCGCCTGCTCCCTGCCAGTAGCAGTTCCGCTTGCCTTTAAAGACAATAGTGGTGATTACTGGAAGGAAGGAGGAAACAAAAAAAAAAAGTCTTATCGAGAATTAATCCGTATTGAGAGGCAACACGGGGAAGACAAGCAGAGTAAGCCGGCTCCGGGCTGCGGGGTGGGCAGAGGGTGGAGGGTGCTTTTCTGTTCGGATGTGATTGTTGCCTGAAAAGCGTTTATCAACTTTTTGTGCGAGTCGTTAAGTCGTTTGGAGCTGGGGACAGCGGGTTTGGTTGGTGGATGTTGTTTTAAGGTAGGGATTGCTTCTGGCGCTGTGATACACACCTAAGGGGCTTGGGGCTGGGCAGGGAAGGGGGTCATGCACTCAACCTGTGGACCCGAAGGGGGACACCTCATTCCGGGGAGGGGAGGGGAGGGGAGCAGACAGACTGGGGTGAGGTAGAGTAAGAACTGGTACCACTGGAGGTACTGCCCCCCACCCTCCCGGAATGAAGATGTTATAAGCGAGCTGGATCCCAAAAGAAGAGGCCTGCTGAGAGAGGGAGAGAAGCATGAATGCATTTTGGGGGGTGGGGAAGGTAGGGTAAAGTTTGCATTGGCAGGTGCCTTACCAAATTCAGCGATCCACTAGCTTTAAGCTCTTAAGCCCTCTCTATGCCTGTATTGTCTATTCCTACTGGTTCCATCCTCTGGCTTTCGATTTATTGTGTACTACTATAAATAAAGAGGCCGACCGAGCTGGGAGGCAACCCTCTCTGGTTAGGGTAGCTTCCTAAGCGGCTTCCTCCTTTGAAATGGAGAGAGATCAGGAGCGAGATCTGTCTTTCTAAACTTCCGAAACATTAGACGTTTTTATTAGTGCAATAGAAAGTGTAAAGGGGGAAGGGAGGGGGCAGGGGGCTGCCTCTGTGTTATGTTGGGAGGGGGGGGTGGCAAAGGGTGTTTTTTAATTTGGGATCCTGAGTTTGTTGTGTGGGACTTCTTGGAAGGGGGTGGGGGGCGTTGGTAGGCTCTAGGGGTGCTGGTTTGCGGAGATCTACCCCCTTTTGTCTGTCAATGCAAAGAAAAATTAACACGGGATTTCTTCTTTTTTTTTTCAGAAGGTGGGGGTGGGGGAAAACAATCCGCAATGGGCCTAACATCTCTTGTGCTCCTAACCTGCACCCTTGTGCAGGGTCTGCTGGGGTCTTGCTGCGGGCAGGGGACAGCAGCGAGGACTAGCAGGGGGCTGGTGCTGTAGTGTGCTTTCCCGGCGTCAGTCTGCACGTCGTTCTACTTGATTAGACTCGGAGCCGGGGTGAATACACACTTCACAGGGAGGAAGGTGGATTTGACAGTCACTGGTTCATCCCCAGCTCGAGGGAGGCTTGGGATCCAATCGGGCAGCCTATCCTATAACCTATTTGCTCTGTGTAAAGTGATCACCTAGATCGTTTGCAGGAGCCTGTTTTTTAGGGGGCGAGAAAGGGGGGCGGGGGTTCAGAGTCTCAGAGATCGCCTCTCCTGGGTGGTACCAGCTCCGGCTCCGGAGTGCTCTGCTCACCTCGGACCCAGAGAAGAGAAACAGGCGACTCACCTTTAAATCACCTGAACAGTTTAAACGCGTGGCGTGGCCCCACACCGGCTGTGCTCATTCGCCCTCTGCCCTGACAAGTGCTTTAAAAATATCGGAGTGATCAGAGCTACATCCCGATTTTTGGGC